TAACCCACTGTCATAGTCCCAAGTGAATCACTCGGGGCGTTCCGATCAAGACTCGGGATCCCGAAGTCAACCCCGACCGGTACAGCTGCCATCGATTCAGGAGCTTTGGTGACCTCGATAGCTCTGGCAGATTGGGACACCAAGGTCAAGGCACCTCCTTCTTTCTCTTCTTCTTCTTCATCTTCTTCTTCTCTCAATCGTTGGACCGAGTCAATCTAAAGGGCAATTGCCTTCCTCCTCACCCTTCGAGTTTCGGTCTTAGGGCCCTCTGATCGAGAGGCAGCTTTGCACTTCTTGTCTTTCCCCGATTTCGGGACCGGGGACTTGGTTCCTTCTTCACCGCTCGAAGGCCTCAAAACGGCATCCTTGGTTACGCCTGCATGAAAGGAAATCGGTAACGAATGGAGCACAAAGAGCGCTTCGAAGGAAACGAGAAGTAAAACCTTACCATGGTTCTTGGCTTCTCATCTGCCTTTAGCCAAATCACGCCAAGCGTGTTCGGCATAAGAGGAAGTCGAGGTTAACTTCCGAACCCAATCCTCGAGGTTGGGCACCGCTTGTAGCATTCAAGGGGAAGCTGTATATCGGGAAGAAACATAAAAAAAATACAAAAGGCAACGTCTTATGAGAACAACTTACGGTCGAAATTCCATTCCTCGGGGAACGGCATCTTCTCTTCCGGAATAAGGTCACGGGTCCTCACCCGAATATAACGCCCCATCCAACCCCGATCCTTGTCTTCGTCGATGCTCGACATCAAAGCCTTCGATGTCCGACGATGAAGTCTGATTAATCCTCGAAAGATTTGATGTCGATACAACCGTATGAGGTGATTCAGGGAAAAATCTAGTCCCCCCCGGCTTTGGTGGAGAAGAAGCGAAGTAAGATTACTATACGCCACAGAGAGGGAAAAATCTCACCAAGGGTGACCTGATATCTCTTGCAAAAATCGATGATCACCGGGTCGACCGGACCCAATGTGAAGGGATAAGTGTAAACACTTAAAAAATCCTCCACATGGGTGACGACACTCTCTTCAGGGGATGGAATTTGCAACATAACCTTGGAACCCTAGTTGCAGTCTTTTCTAACGGCCTCGAGATGACCCTCCGTTATAGAGCACATATACATCGACACGTGCTCGTATCGACCCGGGACGGATGAAGGATTCTCAACCTTAAAATCGATCTTTAGAGTACACGGGCCGGGAATGTAGTCATAGGTGGACGGCTTCACTGGCGCCTTGTCGCCGGACGACCATGAAGAAGAAGCTTTCTCCTTCTGAGGCACAGTTTTCGAAGTCTTGGCCATTGATATGGGAGGAAGAAAGACAAAGAAAAGTGAAAAATTGACGACACCAAAACTCTGGTAGCAACAAGAAAGGAATAAAAGATGAGAAAATTTGGGGGAGTGAACGCGTGAAAGAAGTAAATGATATATGGAAGAGCAATTTATAGGCTCGCATCGTGACGGTTCAATATCACAGGTGGCTGACCGCCATCTGTCAAGCATTAAATACTTTGAAAGGCTGAATCGATAGGACAACTATCATATACGTCATAATCGATCCCTGTGAGAACATCGGCTTATGACCCGATCGAACCACCAAAATCACATCGATTCTCACCGCATCCTTCGTGAGAAACGAGGGGACTATCTATATACGGTCGAAATAGATTTTGGCATTCCTACGTTCGATCGAGTTCGAGTGTTAAAAAGTAGGAATGAGATTTTAGGAGTGAACTCCGAAGTCGATACTAACGAGCCTCGAGCCCGAAGGTCGCTCGAGGAGTCAGCTCGATAACCCTATCGAGCCCGTGACCGAATCGATTCGCAAGGCACTGCTTCGAGGTCGAAAATGCGCGACGCCCATCTCGAAGGTCGAACTTGAGCCAAGACCGAAGGGCCCGACCCAGTTACAAGTTCGAGCCAGTATCGAGCTCACAGACAAGAGTCGTTGTGACCGCACCAAGAGAGAGAATCTTGGCGGGAATTAAGGAAGAGACAAGTTATCATGGGCCTTCCACTATATGTTTTATTTTATTGTTTTTTGTAATGACCATCTTCTATAAAAGGGGAATCCTTGTAAGCTAAAGGGCAGAGACAAAAAATCACTTCTCAGATTAAAAGATATCCCTTTGTGTTTGCTTTATTTTATCTCATTCATTCTTATTGCCCACTATTTTCATTCTCATAGTCAAGAATATACGTATCTCTATTTCTCTACACGATTTATATTGAATTGTATCGCATATCTTTAGAACCATACACAAAATCTAACGTTATCCGATTTTTTCGATAAACAGTGCTGAAATTACATTCACGACTGTAAGAAAAATGGCGGGGTAATGGTGAAGTTATAACGGAACGTATCAATGAGGGCTTCACGGCGTTAGAGAAATAATCAGCGATACGTTTTAGAAGTCTTGGTGAGGCGTCTATTTTTTCGAGCCGCCTAAACTTTCAAAGCACGGTGCTGCAAGTTGACGCCGTCCGATTAGATATCATCACTGGAATTTCCTCTGGGAGTTGCACTGGAAGTGGTGGAGTTTGATTTTTGTAGCTCTTGCATCCAAGGTCCATCATATTGCAAGTAAATTTGAAAATTGGTGCCTTTTGTCCTAAAATATGAGGTTTTCGAAGCTTTCTAGAAGGATTAAACAGAAAGAGAGTAATTTGTTCATGTGGTTTCGTTGTTAATATGGAGGTGATAGCTGTAATAATGGTGAAGGTGGAGAGATCAGTGGACGGGAGAGAGAGGGGCGGAAGGAGAGAGAAAAATATTGAACAACAAAATATAGGTGTTCCACGCTATTACAAGAAGCGTGGTACACGCATTGTGCCGCATCAGATTAATGTGTCTAATCGGACAGTTTAAATATAGATAAAATGTTTCATGGGAAATTGTCTTAGTTAAAGTGCCTAGGTAAAAATTGGTGTAAGTTTAAGGGGTTATATATATGTATTTGGCCTTATTATATAGTTAAACTTTTCTCCCTTTCTTTTATTATTCCAGTAGGTTCTAACCTGGCCTCGTCACTATTCTACTGCGTTTAGGCTTGACACTTATTGGGTACCGTTGTGATGCGCTCATACTATATTTCTGCACATCTTTTTATGCAGATCCAGGTACATCTTATCAGACCAGGCATCAGTGAATTAGCCGTACGAGAAGACTTCGAGGTATATCTATCAGTGTCCGCAAATTTCGGAGTCCCCTTCTATCTTATTATGTTGTCTTCCTTATTTCCTTTAGACTCTGATGTATAGAGACATTGGGAATAAATTCTTAGAAGATTGTGACTTATTCCTACAGGGTTTTGGGAGTTGAAATTGTTAAATTTGCAGTTCTTATTTGTTCAACTGTTAAGGATTAAATTTCAATTTATATTCAGTTATTCCGCATGGATAGGCTTATCTAGTCTTAAAGATTAGGTGCCATCACGACATCCTACGGAGGGAATTTGGGGTCGTGACAAGTTGGTATAAGAGCTCTACGTTCATAGGTGTTATGAGTCACAAGCAGGTTTAGTAGAGTCTCGCAGATCGGTACGGAGACGTCTGTACTTATCTTCGGGAGGCTATGGAACTGTTAGAAAAATGTTCACTTCTTTGATTCCTTATAGTGCGCATTGTTGACTTCAAAATTATAAACTCTTGTCTTTCTATTTTCTCACAGATGGTGAGGACACACACAACTGGATCTGATGATCAGACATCCATGCCCCTTGTTGGAGCCGCAAGAGGACGCGGCCGGAGCAGAGGCCGTGCCAGAGGCTAAGGAAGACTACGTGGTGCAGCCAGAGCACCTGCACGAGCTGCTGCATCAGAACTACCAGTAGCTCTAGTTGGAGAACAGGCACCTGAGACGCCTGTTACTACCCTGCACTTCAGGAGACTCTTGCCCAGTTCTTGAGCATGTTTGGCACTCTAACTCAGGCAGGGTTGATTCCACTTTAAGCCGAATATCAATCACGTATCAAATCAACTCTTCAAATACAAGCACTTGATGTTTCTAAACTATTAACAATATAATAGGAGTACTGTTTAGCCCAAACTTACAATAACAACAAAATTCATGAAGGGGTCAAGCTCTTGCTCGGCCAATTCGGATTAGAGAAAACTTCAAAAATTAAATAAGATTCTGCTGCTGGCGGACGGTTAGAATATCTATTAATAATAGGATAGTATATTACTTGTGGAGTTGGATCTTCTGCACAACAGTTGCATGAATATTCCACTTCATAAATTCCAAAAGAAAGTAAGGACAATCAAATACTCCATATGGAGTTAAGTTACTTCTTGTTAGATTTATACAAGTTGAGATATAAATGCATAGCATATCTAAAAGATCACAAACTAATTGAAACTTTACATGGCTGATAATAATGAGAACCTTACTCCTAGTGAACTTCTTCGAGCTGAAGCTCATTCGTGGAACCAGCTTTATTACTTCATAGAACCTGTAGCATTGAAGTGTGCACTTCAATTGGGCATACCTAATGCCATCACCAAACATAGCAAACCAATGACTCTTTCCGAACTTATCGCTGCCCTCCCTATCAATCCTTCTAAATCTCACTACTTTCACCGCCTTACACGAATATTAGTTCATTATGGCTTGTTAATTCTACATAAATCTGAAGGTCGCGACAATGAAAATGATGATGAAGGGTATTATTCACTTGCAACAGCTGATCGCTATGCAGTGAAGAATGCAACCTGGAAATTGATGGAAGAGCAAGATACATTTTTTCTAAAAGCATGGAATTCTATGAGTGATTGGTTCAAGAATGAGGATCCAAGTGCGTTTTACACTGCATATGGAGACCTTTTCTGGGATAAACTTTCAAGAGATCCGAGCATTGGTAATTGGTTTAACGAGATCATGGCTAAAGAATCGCGATCATTCATGAAAGTGTTATTGGAATATAAGTATAAAGATGTGTTCGACGGATTGACATCTATAGTGGATGTTGGAGGAGGGACTGGAACTGTTGCAATGGCCATAGCCAAAACTTTCCCTGACATGAAATGCACAGTACTTGATCTTCCACGTCTGGTGGCTAACTTACAGGGAAGCGAAAACTTGGAGTTTGTAGCAGCAGATATGTTCCAGAAAATTCCCCCAGCTAATGCTGTCTTACTCAAGGTAAATATTCAGTATGGACTTTGCCTAATAATTCCCCTATTTCATCAATTTTTGTACAATTGATGTTTAAACTTTTTTCAAAACAATGGAATGTACAAGCATTAGTCTTGATCTGTATTCTAACAGGTAAGTTGGTACATTCAGCAATACGCAACTATTAACTGTCCCACATTGGTTGAGCGATGTTTTCTCCATATATGGTCTTGACACATTTTCATGTGTGAACGTGATTATTTTTCATGTGTCAAACACGTAATTTTTTAACTTTTGAGTAGCGGTTTTTGATACCATACATACCGAAGAGTGTGACCAATTCATTTTAAAGTTTAAACTGTTAGAGATAAAGAGCACACTTTTAATAATTTAATTATATTATGTCTCAATACATTCTTCTTCTATTACTACTTTAACATCGGACATGTTAATTGAGCAGTCAATTTTGCACGATTGGAATGACAAAGAGTGTGTGAGAATTTTGAAAAACTCCAAGAAGGCAATAACAGGAAGGGGAAAAGCTATCATTATAGAGATGGTGATGGAAAATCCAGAGATGGATGATGAATCTGTCCAAGCACAACTCTTGATAGACATGGTGATAATGGTTTTCTTAGGTAGCAAAGAAAGGAACAAGCAAGAATGGGAGAAACTTTTCTTAGATGCTGGTTTTAGTAGCTACAAAATTAACCAGACTCTGGGTTTGAGGTCTGTTATTGAGCTCTACCCTTGATCTCTCATGCTTTTATAAGCTGATCGGATTAATATTTTGAGAAAAATCCATATTTGCTCTTTACTATTATACGAAATATTTTAATTTTATATCTACTGTTACATTTCGTGTCATTCATACCTTTATCATTAGTACTTTTTTTTTTACTTTAACAGCATATGGAATGGAAAAAATGTCAAAATTTACCCACCTACTTTTTACTATGATTTAAACTTTTACTCTACTAAGCATATGGCCTGCATACATATGTACAATCAAGATGACGCAATCAGTAGAAACAAATAACAATCAAGGAGAAGCTGTCAATGCCAAAGCCGCCCAAATCAAAATTGAATCTTCGACGCCGTTTGTTTTCGTTAAAGGTTAAGATGTTTGAATATTTGGATGCGTATCTAAGTGTTATCAATAATTAAGATAGGTTTGTTATCTCAACATCTGAATATATAAGATTTATTTTTATTTAACATGTATACCCCTTGTTCCACTTTTGTGGCACAATTACTATTTTGAAAGTCAAATGAGTTATTTTTTTTACTATGATTTTTTCAAATACTTTTTAATTATTTTGAATTGTTAAATACTGTAACTTATAATAATTTTTATATAGTTTCTAAGTAAATTTTATTTCATATAACGTGATAATTCTATGTTTAAATTCACATTGAAAATTAGGTAGTTGAATTTTCATACTTCGAACCATGTCACATAAAGTGGAACGGAAAGTAATAAATAACAATACTGTTTACCCGAAAAATAGATAGAGTTGAATTTATACGCAGTTCCGAGAATATGTGGCGTAACTTAACACAAAATGCAAGGATAAATAAAAGTGTAAATATAGATTGGGGAGAATGGTAAAATAGATAAGGTTATCAGGAACAATGAATCTCAGGATTCAACAAATAGAATCAATCTAAGAAATCTGAAAGAACGGTTCTTTATTGTAGAAGAATATAGCCCTTTTATTACAATGTAAGCCTTGGAAAAACTTATTTTACATGAATGGTAACCAAGCCCTTTTATAGTAGAGGGATTTGGCTCTAAGCATAATAAAATAAAAATTCAGTGGGAGACCCATGATAAGTCAGCTTTTCCATAATTTCTGCCAAGATTCTCTCTAGTGGGATTGCAACGGCTTTTGTCTGCGAGCTCGATCTGGCTTAGAACCCTTGATTTTGGTTTGAGCTTGATCTCGGCTCGAACTCATGACCTTGGTTCGAGCTCGATCCTGGCTCGAGCCCTCGAATTGATTCGAGGTCAAAGTTGGTTGGTCTCTGGATTATCGAAACGATAGATCTACTATGTATCATGGTTCGATTTTGATTCGAGCTCGATAATGATATCGAACTCGACACGGATCGGCCTCCCCGGGTTCGAGGTTAGTTCATTCCTCTTTCGGGATCTTACTTTGATAGATCACCGTTCGAACTCGATCGGACGTGCTAAGGCCGAAATCAATTTCGACCGTATAAAGATAGTCCCCTCGTTTCTTAGAAAGAATGTGGCGAGAAACGATATGATTTTAGTCAAACGCGCTAATCAATTGCGCTATGCGGTCTTTTGATTATACCATGTCGTTTCCATCGAGTTCGATCATGACGCATCTGGTAGCTGTCCCATTGATTTAGTCTTTCAAGGCATTTAATGCATGTCAGGTGGTGGCCGGCCACTGTTGATACTGAACCGCCATCGCTTGAACCTATAAATAACCCTTTCTTTTATCTTTTACCACTTTTACATCTTCTATCTTCCAAATTTCCCAAGTTCTTCTTCGTACTCTCCAACTTACCAGTAAATCTGTGATTTCTTTCCGCGAAAAACCCCTCTTCAATTCTACCAAATCTTTGTCACTTTCTTCTATTCCTCACCTTTGAATTCGAAAATGGCAAAAACATCGCAAACCATTCCTCAGAAAGAGAAGGCTTCATCTTCATAGTGTGCCGCCGAGGAGACACCGACAGAACCACGGCCTGAGGAGTGTGTTCCCGGGGCGTGTGTCCTTGCTTCAGATTTTAAGGTCGATAAAGGTTCATCGGTCCCTGGCCGGTGTAAGCTGGTATCGAGGTACATGTGTTCGATAACCGAGAAGCACCTCGATCAGCTAAAGAAGGATTGCAATTGGGGTGAAAAGAAATAATAATTCCTACCCCTGACGAAGATATCACTTCTTACTTGAAAGGGTTTTTGAATGTGTATACTTACCCTTTCACTTTAGGTTCCCTCGATTCCGTCATTATTGACTTCTGTCAACAATATCAGGTAACCCTAGGCCAGGTCCATCCTTATTTGTGGCGGATCGTTATCTTGATCCGATATTTTGTGAGCAAAATTGAGGGGATGCCGTTCATCCTCGATCATCTTATCCGATTGTATCATCCTCGACTTTTTCGAGGAGGGTTAATAAAACTCCAGCGTCAGGCTACCAAGGCTCTGTTCTCTAGTATTGACGAGGACAGGGACCGGGGTTGGATTGGCAGGTTCGTTCGAGTAAGGACTTCGGACCTGATTCCGATTGAAAAGATGCCCTTTCCCGAGGAGTGGAATATGAAACGTAAGTGTGATCTTGTTGTTACTTCTATTTTGTTCTTTCATTTATTCTCTCATCGATACTCATCTTTTTTTTTGTGATATAGCGGTTCCCTGGATGCCCGGAGCAGTTCCCGATCTCAAGAACTGGGTATGAGCCCTTGTTTTGACCTCCACATACGCCGAGCGCTCATGGCGTGATTTGTCAAAGGATCGGTGGGAGGCCAAAAATCACGGTAAGTTCATTTCTTGGACTCTTTGATGATCCGAACGAGGCGATTTTCAAAATATTTTATTAAGGGTTCCCATATGCAGGCTTGGGTAAAGACGCGGTTTTGAAGCCCTTGCCCAATGAAGAGGGAATTTCGGCCTCTGTCCCAAAGCCGGTGAAGGAAAATAAAAGGAAGAGAGCCTCGGTTCCCGAATATCCAAAACTGAAGAAGAGGACGGCTCATAAGCTGAACAAGAATGCCATTCCTTTGACCATGGAATCCGTTCTGCGTCTAAGGTATTAAGATGAAGAAGAAGAAGAAGAAGAAGAAGAAGAGAACGATGAGTGCGCTCTGGCGGTCTGAACATAGAGAACCACCGATGCCTCATCGCCGGCTGGATCGATGATGCTCTATGAGGCTCCGCCTCGAACTGAAGATATACCGAAGAAAGATTCGGGTAGAGTCCCCGAACTATCGGATATAGAAGACGCGTCTCATCGGAATCAACCGGCAGGGGATATGATCGAAGAGCCCCTCGAACCCCTTCGAACCAAGGGGAACGCTCCAGGCGAGCCATTTGGGGCAGCAGCAATCGAGAATTCGCCTACCTTTCCCGCTTTTTCGCAGGGGTGATTCGGGAAGCTCAAGCTCTGGGAGCCCTCGATCTAGACAGGCCTCATGATGGAGAAAATCCCTTTCGTGACCTATTTACCGGCATTGAGGATATTGCCGGTGCTGGTGATGAATCAGATCTTTTTCACGGATTGTGGCAGGCTTTGAATCAGGTGAGCTTTTAAAACTATTTTGTCGGTACTATCTTCATGTTCATTTTTCATTAACTTCGCTTCTTGTTTCTTTGTAGGCAGCAGCAGTTCATCGAGAACAATTTTCTCAGTCCCAGAACGAGCTGCATCGATAAGCGGCCGACCTACAACGGGCTACTGACGAGAGGAACTCCCTTGGACTTTCCTTAGGGCAGAGAGAGGAGGAAATAAAAGACCTCTGTGCTGAGATGGCTAAGGCTTACCGAGATCAGACCGATTTGTCTGAGCAGGTAATGATACTTTTGAAGGCCTATGGGCTTGATACCGGAACGATAGCTAACATTTTGGTCTCACAGCTGCAGCAAAAAATCGAGATGATCGGGAAGCTTCGTGAGGAGGTCAACGTGATAAGAACGGAGTCTTTGCGGTGGAAAGAAGGTATGGAGCGCTTTGCTGCAAAAAAAGAGATTGCTCGAGCCCAGTTATCATCGTCCGAAACCCAACTTCAGAAGATAAAGGAAAAAGGCTTGGTTCAAGCAAGAAGAATTGAGGAGCTTGAGGCTCGGTTGGCCTCTGTACATGCCAAGGCCGAATTCGATGCCAAAAAGGCAAAGGCCGATGCGGATGCGCTCGTGGCCGTCTATCGGGCCGATGCTAAAGCTGCCTAAGTCCAGGCAAGAGAGGCAGC